ATGGCATAATATTGCTGTGTCCTCAGGGATGTTTCCCAGACCGTCGCCAATAGCCCATTGTGCAGCTCTAGTGTGACGTAAATGAACTATAATAGAACTATAATGACTGAAATGATAATAAAAAATAGTGTTTTAAAAGCGTTTTTTTTTTTTATAAAATTTATTTAGCACTTTGTTTTAAACATACAAATAATTTTTAACGTTTCATTTAGAAATTGAACATTACGATCGAACTTAATAATTATGTAATTATTTATGCATAATAGTACAAGAAAATATTGATTTCTAAAAAAAGTTTTTATCACTTTGTTTTACGCATATTATGAATTCCTAAACAAACATTTCAATAAATATTTTAAGTAAGATTTGTACATTGTAGTCAATTTATTTAATATCTTAAGCAAAACATATATATCTTCAAATTTATAAATTGATTTAAATCAATCTGAGTATGAAGTTTTGATAGAAATCTGACTTTCTGTGCCTTACAAGTAAATGAAATTCAAAAATACTATATCGCGATACATCGCTATATCGCGATACATCGCTATATCGCGATGCAAAACTGACGATGCATCATGATATATAATTTCTAATATCGCCCAGTCCTACTCAAGACATTAAATTTGTTTCTTGTTCTAAATTTTAAATTTGGAGAAGTCTATTCTATCCAAATTTAAAACTTGGTCCATTTAAATGTATTTATAATTGTCACTTTTTTTCTTAACTTTTGTTCATCACTTTAAATATTCTTTCCAATATATGTAGGAAAAATATCTTGATGTCTGTGGGAGAATTAAAGTAGCACAAAATGAAATCTACTGTGCGTGAACAAAATTTTTAATCTTTTAAATTCGACATACAGTTTTTTTTGACTCATAGTTTTTTTTGACTTGTAGTACACTATTAAATGTAACTATTTAAGAATCACATAAATATTTTATAGGCTAACCATATTTATTAGAGAACTGCATAATATTTTTCATACAGTAAATAGTTTAAATTTTGAATGATATTATTCAGTCGAATAATGAATGACATTTTTGCTGATTATTTAAAAAATGTTTTTTTTTTCTGTATTATTTATTTGAATTAAGTGTAGTTTTAAAGACACATAACTTGAAGTTGTTGTGTAGTGAAGTTAAAGTGTACCTCATTCTTGAATTTTAGCCTATTATTGATCAATTTGTTGGACAAAATATTGATATTGAAGTCATGGATGAAGACCAAAGTAGTAAGGATGATTTTCTGGGAAGGTAAATTTTTTTATTTTCATGTTTGGAGTTTCTAATTTGCCATTGTTGTTTTTAGGCATTAGTTCATTGAACATTTTTATTTCTTTTGAAAATTGCAAGTGTTTTTAGTTGTATCAAGGAACAATATGGAATGAAATATATTTAGTGACTAGCATTTTTTTATTAGTTACTTTTTAATTACTAATATACTTTTTTATTTCTTTTTTAGAAATTAATGAAAAAATATGTTGCATGAAGTCCTAAGCTTTTCACTTAAATGTTTTGTTTTAATTTATTATTTCAAATTATTTTTGCTGTGGAAGTTTCTTATCTTTTCATAATAATCTTAAATCTTTGATCTATAATTAAGTAATTACATTATGTTTTTATTTAAGCTTATAGATAAACTATAATATAAACTTTAATTACTCTAGTGCTTAATGCCTATAGGACTTTTTCGTTGAAGTGATTATAATTTGGTATTGATATTTAAGTTTGGTTTGTGCTTAGTACGAACATGAAACTTTTTGTGATAAATGGAATCGATGTTTTGCTTAAATTTTTAGTTGCTAAAATTATTGTGTTGAGTACTATTAAAAGGTGTTATATTGATAGACACGAAAATGTTACAATTTTGTTTACTTAGTTTTCACTGAAGAAAATGTATGTTTTATTATAAACATTGTATATCATTTTTATTTGTTTTGATACACTTTGTGTTCAATATATTTGTTTTCATTTTCAAATACTATTAATACCTAATTTATGTTGTTTGAACTGTTAAAAACTAAACAAAATATAGGAATGTTTCTTCATACATTTTATGAACATATAAGTTTATGAATTCCTCTATTAAATTTGTTTTGCAGAGTATCTGTTGATATATCAAAATTGGTCAAGAAACGAGATATAAATGCTGTAAGTTAAGTGTTTTAGTATTATTGCCCATTAATAACTGATTTCTCAAAATTTCTTCTTGATTTCAAGAGTTTATAATGTTAAATTTTGCTATTTAAAGATATTAGTTAATGAATTCAGTCAATGAATTTTGCTCTAAACCAATTAACCTTTTTAATAATTCTAATTCCTTTTTAACAACTTTTTTAACCTTAACCTTTTTAATAATTGGTTTTTGAAAATTTACTCCTGATGTCCAATGAAAAAGGCAGGGGTCTGTCTTGGTTTTTCTGAGAGGTACTTATTTTGTGAAAATTTAGACATAATTTGTGAAAAATAAAAAATTATATTAAAAAATCAACACAAAATATGGTAAAATTATGGATTTATTGTTTCTTAAGGGACAAAAAAATAAAAATTTAAGAAAAAGTATTTTGTGAAACTACCGTTTTTCCTAAAGTTGAATTTGTGAAGGTAACAAATTCGACCTGGATAGACCCCTGAAATGTGCTTTAATTTAAACTCTTTAAAAATTTTATTTATTAATTTTAAATTATTTACATACTAGTGGTTACAATTAGAAGATACAAAATCTGGTTCTATAAATATACAGTCAACTTGGTTGACTTTGAGTGACAATGCTGATGATCTTCCTCAGGTAAAAAATGCATTTAATTTCCATATTTTCTTTGTTTTAATAATTTTTGTGTATTAAAATTTTCTTTTTTTTTAGCAACTTATTGAAATAAGGAACTTAAATCCCAGATCAACTATGTATTCTGCTGTTTTGCTTGTTTTTCTTGACAGTGCTAAGCATTTGCCTGTGAGTAAAATTTTTGAATAATTATGTTTTCATAACTAGCAGACTTATTATTTTTAATCATGTTTACAATACATTTTATTATTTCATTTATTATGTAATTTTTCTTTGTTGTTTTTATGATTACTTTTGTTTAGTTTACAGTAGAAATCTTGATATTTCTCATCATAGAAGCCTTTTTTCCCTATCTAATACATCTAAGAAAACTAAAGATCAGAGCTTCCCTCTAGTAGCTCAGCAAAGTTCAGATCAGTTAAAAGAAATCACTCTCAGTAAAGTGTTTCTGACTTTACAAAAAACGTTGCACTAATAAAAAAAATATCCATTGTATTTGTCTCCAAACCTCATAAGTTATATCAAAATTTTATTTTTCAAAACTTTAGTATTACTATAGTTTTCAGACCGAATCAGTATTTGTTATTATTACCTGAGTTTGCTTCAGTTATTGTGCGGCTTTGAGGAGATCCCCTCCAGACTAAAGGTCTGGGGCTGTCTGCTGCGCGAGAGATCATTTCTAATGGGAGGTGCAATTCTAGAATGAAGGTGTTAATTGGTTTACTCATGGTGACCTATGCCAAGAAAACTATTCACCTGCACCTTTATTCTAAGTGACTATTCCTCGTAACCATAGTACCAACCACGACGAGATACTTATGTCTGGAGGGAATCTCCTGAAAGCCCCACTATACTAGTAATCCATTCATATATTGTTAGAATGTGTTATTTTTCCTTGTTTTCTGCAAAAAATGCATTAAAAAGCCCGTAGGGTTAGAAAGAGGTTTAACCGACTGTCCCATTTGCAAGCTTAAAAATGCTTTTTCAACTGTTGTCATTTGCTAATGGAAAACAAATTTTCCTTTTATTATTTAATGAGAAATTGCACATAGAGGAGAAACTTTTATGCAAACTTTTGCAAGTGCAAAATGCATGATTGAAATATAACTGCTTACTTTAGAAAATATGATTGACTAATGATGTGAGGCTCAAGAAGTATTAAGGAGTTATCTAGTCATTTTTGATATTTTTATGTGCTATAACTATTGCCTAGAAAATGCAATAGAATGTTGAAATATTTAATGTTTTGTTGTTCTAGTAAAAAAGAAATCCAGAGATGATGATGCACCTTTATTTGGGTTGGGTAATGTTTGCAATCACTCATCAATTCAAGGATGATTCTAATTTATTAGAAGCGAAACACATCTGCTGCATAAGAATAAAGTTCCCTTATAAATTTAAACACAGATTTTTATATTTTCCTTCAGAATGTTATTGGATAACATTAAAGTTATATAGATGAATTTATTAAAATTAATAATATTTTTACTATTTTTTTTTCAGTAAAATCTTTTAACATGAAGCGTGCCTCTGATAATTTAGTTTATTCTATTTATTGTAGACATGATTTCATTGAAACTCTTTACTTCTAAAAATTTTTTTGTGTTTCCAGAAATTTAGGATATAAGGGATTTATTGTATATTTTTGCAGAGTTATTTAATTGGTTCCTTTCATTTTTTAGAATGTAAACAGGGGAGCTGAGGAACCAAGTGCACAAGTTCAGTTGACTGTCACTGGATTTAAAGAGACGAGTGCAATACGTCCACATACTAACCATCCAGTTTGGGAAGAGGCTTTTAGATTTTTGTTACATAATCCTGAAATTCAAGATTTAACAGTTGAGGTTAGTTAAAATGCTTGTAAGCGTGATATGTTTCTTTTTTAACATAGTTTAAATTACTAACGTTAGATTATGTTATAATTTCTAAAATGTCACATGAGTTTGTTGCTCTTTTATAAAATTAATTTAGTTAATTATAAATTTAATTTTTTTACTAAAATTTTTTTCTCTAAACTATATAGGTTGTATAATTCTGAAAGTGTTTTTTTTTTAATAATCGAATTGTATATATTTATAAAGAAATTTATAAATATATTAAAATATTAATAGTCTAAAATATGATTCTTTAATTTTAGTTATAATTATTTCATTTTAAGGTCTCTGACACCAAGTCAAATAAACCTATTGGAATGACAAGGGTTCACCTTTGTCGTTTGCTTAGGGAGAAAGATATGCAGTTAGAAGAACCCTTTCAACTTCTTGGTGCTGGGCCTAATTCAAAAATATTGATGACTCTTCAATTAAAGGTTTTTCTTTTAATATTATTGAACTGAATCTGTACTGTTTGTTCTATTTTGCTTTAAGTATTCTGCCACTTAAATTTTTTTTGTTATATTCTACATTGATATAGTAGTATGATACTACTTTGGTAGTGTATTACATTCAATATTAATATTGCTATCATATTTTAGCCTATATTAGAGAATGTTTACTCATTTTTACCACATATAACTATACTAGAACATGAGAGAAACTAGACTGTTTTGTCAGGAAACATGTAAAGTCTCACAGGAGCGTCATGGAGGTCATAGGGGTTTGCAAATAAATCTGTGTATGTTTGCATTAAAGCTAAATTAAAAATAAGATAGGGGTTTAATTGCTTTATAACCACAATACTGCTAAATTGATCTATCATGCATTATACTATGGATCTGAGTCAGTAAAATTCACTAAAATATGAAGTTATTCATAAATTATTTTGTCTCATATGTTCTTCAATTATGCACTATGTAAAAAAAAAAAATTTAATTACCTTATTACTTTGTTTGTAAAATGTATTGAGTCAAAGTGCAAGAAATTCAATACTGAAATTTTAAGAGGCATTGAGTCAGTTGGCGGCAAAAGAGGCATTCATTGGTAAAAAGTGTATAGGGTAGAAATATTCTTCCAATTTTGCCCATTTGCTAAATCACCGATGGGTTAACTTTTATTGCTCTGTTTTGTAAAAAATATATTTTTTTTAAAAAATTGGAAATTATAACTGAGATTATCTTCCTCATTAAAAAATACTTTCTAGAATTTTTAATACTTTTTATAAGACAGCAAGAAATTTAAAGCATGCCCTAAGTTTTTGATGTTGTTAACACTTATGGTGTGAATTAAATTGTGTGATGAAGTGAACCATAAACTGTTATCTCACAGGTCCACATTTTACAGTTGATTCTAGCATCATCCATGTATTATGGTTCAAAATAGTCTAAAATATCTTTAAATCATTTTTTAAAGAAAAAGTTACTCATATTTAATCGATTGTTGAATGACTTTTTTTCAAATAAGACTGAATGAAAAATAATCTTCAAAATATTAATAATCAATTATGTGTAATATAGGATATGTGTAATATAGGATATGTGTAATATAGGTTATGCGTAATATAGGATAATCAATCATGCAACATAACTTAAGTAATCTCTGACATTAAAGGAAATATTTTTCAGATTTTAGTTCCGTGTGCTGCTTCTAATTTCTCAAAAAAGGAAGGAATTTCAAAGAAAGAAAAAAGCCCAGACAAAACTGATGGTAAACCAAAATCAAATATGGATTTACCTGATATTCCTGATATCACACTCAGTGCTCGTCCTTTAAGTGCAGCTACTCCAACTATTCAAGATATGATTCAAACTACTATAATTCCCGCAGTTGATAATATAGAAGTTAGAGGTGAAAAGCCTGAAATTCCTCATCAGTCATCTTTGACTAACGCATCTCCTCCAGATTCACCATCTAGAAAGTCTTCTCCAGTTAAAACTCCATCCCCTATTAAAAAAAAGGCTTCTCCTCCAAGGTATAAAATGAAGATTTATTTTGAAAAATAATTTCTAATCTGCATACTTGTATATTTCATATTTGATTACAATCCGCACAATTAATAAGATAATTAGGAAATAGTTAATAATTTATAAAGTAATTTTTTCTTATCTCCAGATATAGAAAAGAGTATTTTAAAATGTTAATAAAATAATTGTCGTTTTATTTTTTAGTTTACTCTGCTATTTTTAACAAAATTTTATTCTTATCCATTTAATTAACCTTATAATGTGACAACTTCTAACATTACTGATACAAATTGAATTTTATAATAGAAAAATGCTTGTTTATGCTAAAACTATTAAAAAAAAATGTAATCAAATACGGGAAAAAATATGGAGAGCAAGTTATAGTTACCTCTGAATTTTCTCATATCCTAAAAAAGGTAGAAATTCTTTTTTTAAAATTTTTTTGCAATAATTGTAACCTAATATGTCATTTGCCAGCTATGACAAATTTTGTTATAAATCATTATAATTTTTTTTAAACATTTTTGTTTCCTTCAATATAAATGAGAAATTTCTTCAATATTGATGTGAAATTTATGCTTTCTTACATATAACTAAAAATCTTGCTATTTTTTCACACTAGGAATAAAAAGCATTCTATTAGGAAGATAAAAAATATTATCAATTTAAAGTAACCAGAAATTTTAGAGCAAGAATCAAATTTATTGTTTTTAAGAATATTTTATTTTGTGAATAACAGGAGCAATATTTTAAAACAACCTTATTTTTTTACTGGCAAAATATCTAGTGTAGGAATTTCCCAATTAAATACATGTTATAGTCAGATGTTAATATAGAGCATTACTTTTTCCTATCAAGATAATTTTTAATGGTTAAAGGCTTTCTATTGTTACTTCATTTTCTAAAGCTGATATTTGCAGCTTTAGAAAAAAGTAACAAAATATCTTGTTTCTCTATGTTGTTATAAAGGAGTTTAGTTGCATTCATACATAAATATATTTTTCATAATTTCTATAATTGCTTTCATTTTTAAAATTTATATCCTTCTGTCGAAGTATAATGACTCAAATTTTTTTCAGTCTTAGTGGGGATAGCATAAAAAGTAATAGGAGCGCTAGAAGTAATTCTGGAATAATCAAAATACAGCTTACTTTACGATACAGTATTCCTAGGAATAAGCTTGTTGTTGTTGTCCATAAAGCTAAGTAAGGATAATCAATTCATTTTCTATTTCTTCATTTTTGAATTTAATTGTTTTTAATAAAAAAATTTTCTAGCAAAATATATAAATTACTTATAAATATTTTAGCACTAAATTTAAGGGAATTGAGAAATAAAATATATCTTTAAAAAGTATTTAACTAAATGTAATAATTTATAATACTTAAGTGTTAATTGTGTTATGAATGTGAAACTACCTAAACATTGATATAATAACTACTTGCTCTTAATTGTTTTTTTAAACATCATTGTATTAAATAATTGTTTATTATATTATTTTCTTAATTTTGTTTAGAAATCTACCATATAAAGAGGGTGAAGACAAGCCAGACCCATATGTGAAAATCTATATGACTCCCGACCGTAATAAGGAAACAAAGCAAAAAACCCAAGTCATCAAGAATACTTGTAACCCTATTTTTGATGAAACGTAAGTTCTTAAAAATTTTAAGCTTAAATGAAATATATGGTGGGAAGAGAAAATTAAGCTCATAAACTTTTACTTTGATGACCAGTTGTCCCCATCATTTTTATCCCAGGCAATTAAGAATCCTTGTTAAGACATATTAAGGACAAGCTGAATTTTCATCAGCTGTTTTACTTAATGAGGGGAGTATTTCTTGAAAAGTTTCTGCCCCTTCTCCTTCCTCATCCCCTCTATAAATTTTATTTTATATAAAAATTGCAATTAGGATCATATCTTCACCATGGTTTACTCTAAGTTAAATTTTATTCCTAAAAACCTATAATTTGTTACATTTCAATTTTTCAAAAATAATAAAAACATACCATCTATCTCCGTGTATAAGTTGATTCTCTATTTTTGATCACAAGATAGCAAATTTCTGGTGTGTGGAGTGTATAATTTAACCACTGAAAAAAACAATTATTACAATTTCTAAATTTGAAAAACATAAAACATATTAAGTTTACAAAATGTTTTGTATAGTACTAGATATGATACTAGACTGGTGACGAAATGTATATTCAAATGTTAATGTAAAATCTTTTAAAAAGTGTGGAATTTTGAATTTTTTGAATGGGGGTAAAGATAAATTTTTGTGTGACTCAGCAGAGGAGGATGAAGTAAAAAAACCATTGCAGAGTTAGATCCATATGACAATACTTGTAATGTTGTTGAATCTGGTACAGATGATGTTCTGGAATCTTTTAATTTGTAGCTTTATGGTATGTTTTAAAAGTTCCCATTGTGTTATATTTTTTAAAATACCCTTAAATAAATTCTTAATTTTTATCTTAGGATAATTTGAAGTATGGTTTCAAGAAAAAAAACCTTTATATGTCTAGAAAATGTTAAAAATAGTTTATTGAAAGGTTAGTAGTTTCTTGAAGCATATTAAAAATAGTTTCTTGAAAGGGGTGAGTCAGTTTGATTGAATGGTTAAATGAGTTATTCAGTTCTATATCATTGTTTAAAATGCATCGGGATTTCACAATCAGCAATTGTCAAACTTTACTGTTTTATAAGTAAACCCCTATTTTTTACGAAATTTTGGTGGTTTGAAATAGCGACTTATACACTGGGATATACGATTATATTTTTATTTGTATTTGTATTTGTAGTTTTTTTAGGGAGTGGCACTTTCATATATATCTCAAAAAATTGATAAACTATAATTATTAACTCTAATAATAAATATTTGTTTATTACCTTTCAAACAACATGTATGCTTCTATATATTAAACAACCTCCTCATTTATCTCTCATCCTCCTCTTAAGTATTAATTTTACATACATTTTTAATTCTGATCAAATTTCTGAGACTATTCATTTGAAATTTATAAACCTTATACTATTTTATTACTAATAATAAAATCTTTAAAATAAGCTTTTAAATTTCTCAAAACCCATAAAATTTATGTAAAAAATTGATTCAATATAAAAGGATCTTGATTTGAAATTTTTATTTTTTAATTTTTTAGAAAACAGCAATTTTAAATTTGATAACATTGCAAAAAACTGATAAAAGATAGTTTATTATTTATTTTCATTGAAATTTAAGCCATGCTTAATCAGCATTTTACGGTATTTAAGATCAAATTTATGCAAGCCAGATTGGAATTTTTACATGACCGAAGCATGCCAGGCAAAATAATTTTCAAGCCCCACTGGATGCTATTTGTAAATAATTTTTCATGTTATTCAATTTAAATATGTAGCAAAAATAAGTTAAAAATGGTTTTAGTTTAAAGCATTTTTTTGTAATGTTATAATTAATAATTATGATTCTTTAAGCATATTTTTGAGGAGCTAGCAGAAACCAGAATTTTTTAGAAAGCATATCAATACTCTTGAAAAACTGTTTTTTTTCCTATTTAATTTGTCTACAGTTTCCCCTAATGAATTAGTTTAATTGTTTAAAACTATTGTTTTTGTTGTGTTATTTTGAATTGAAGTTCTCATTTGTTTTTTTTCTCTCTTAAATAAGTTTGGTGGTTCTTTTTTTTAAACTTCCTATAGGCTTTCTTTGTTATTGTTTTTATGTGTTAGAAAACTGCTCACATTATTTTGCTTTCATGATGAGACAATGATATGAGCTGAGATGACAATGAGCTGAGACAATGATCTTATCACCAGTTTTATTTTAACAAGGATTAACTTTTTTGGCAAGGATTATCTTTTTTGGAAAAAATATTGAAAGTGTTATTAAATGCAGCACTTGAAATACTCTGTAATGTTTTCCTGTTCAACACTTAATTTTCCTTTATGGTCTGTGTTACATTTGAAAAATAAGTACCATTAATTTTAAAGCTTTTCCTGCTTAAGTACTTGCAATTACGATTTGATTGTAGAACCATCTTTAATTTCTGAAAATGTTATGGAGCAATACACACACAATGGTATGAAACAGTATACAAAATCATTTTTCCCATATTCATTAAATCTTATTGCTGGATCACTTAGAAAATTGTCTTATAAAAGTTGTTTGCTACATAATTTTGTTTTGTTATGTACGTTTCATAAGTTGGACACACCTATATTGCAGTTTATACTTGTACTTATGATATATTAAGTTATTACTGTTAAAACTTTATTTTAAATTGAAATTTTTAGGCTTGAGTTTGATGTCAATCTATCAGAAGTAGCAAATTATTCATTAGAAGTTACAGTTGTTTCTAAAAGTGGCTCTATGTTTCCACGTGGCAAAACTTTAGGAAAGTCCGTAATTGATTTAACAAATCTGGATCTTAGTAAAGCTTCAACAGAATGGTATGTTGTTTGTTCTTCAAAGATTGTTGTGTTAAAAGTTAAAACATAGCTTATAAATTACAATTTCTTAAGATTACTCTTACATGCTCTACGCATTTTTCATGTTCCTTGTCCTCATAATTAAATTTATTATATATCTTCTGTAGTAAGTAGGAAAGTGCCAATTTTATTACAAGGGTAAGTCTTAAACTCAGCAAGAATAATTGTTTAAGATTAAAAGGTTGTGCAAAAGTGAGATATTATATAATAGTATACTATAAAATAGTATAGTGTAGTATGTTCAGCCTGAAAAGTCCTGCTTACTTCGTTATATGATTCGTGTTTAGTATCCTGATTCCAATAGTTTACATTGAATATATATGATGCAATTAAGCTATTTAAAAAAAAAAATTTAAATTTTAAGTTGTTTTATCAATAAAGAACCTTCTGCTAATAATGATCTTTAATTATTTTTAGGTATGACTTAGATGCTGCAGATTAGATGATTTTAGTTTAATGCTTGACTCCTGAAAGCAGACATAATCTAGATAATATTCTTCATTGCTATTTCCTTAGCTACATACTTAAGTCATGTTTTATCTATCTTTATAAATACTGGACCAATATTAATTTTTTTCAACTTTAGTTTTTTCTTAATATTCTTTGTAATATCCTATAATTATGCTACAAAGCACATTTTATTATATTACTGATGTTATTTTAATTTTTTCCAATTTTTGAAACTTTTTGTCGTATGTTTTCCTAATATGTTTTAATATTTTATTTTGAATATTTTCTATTATTAAACAAAAAATTTATGAGGATATTATATTAATGATTTATTGAGGTCTGGATTTGTTAATTAAAATTTATAAATGGAGAGTTTTTTTTATATGAAATTTTGAAATTGTTTTTGTTTATTTACACTTAATCTGTTAATTCTTTAAGTGTTATACAAGAAACTTTATATCTGGTTGTATTTTTTGCTTCAAAGAGACCAGGTTGTATCTTTTGCAACAAAAATACAGTCATATTTGTTTTAAAATAGTAATGCATTTATTCCTTTTGTGAATGAAGAATCTATCTAGAATGTATCTCATCTCTTTGACTAGTGAACAGACTTGCAATTTTTTTACATTTATCAGATATAAATGTGTCACTATGCAATGTTTTATAAATGATTTATGACTACTTCCAATGTGTATATTTCATTCACAGTTATAAATGAAATATAACAAGCTTAACTATCAGTTAAATTTCAGTTACTTTTAATTTTTTTTCAGTTACATTAGTTTTCTTCAGCTTCTATAAATTGTGTAATTACAATAATAAGTGGAATATATAGTGTTAGATTGCTACGAAATCCATGTGCCTTTTTTCTTACTATTTCAGATGCTATTTCTAAATATTTACATAACAATTAATATGAAATTTTATGCTATATATTATTTTAAAGCTCACACAATGTCAATAGTTGAGCTGATTTAAAAAAAAAAATATCTTGAAAGTTTAGCAATCTTTTTCAAGTTTCGATAACTTTTGCAATTGATTTGATAAATATTACCTTGAATGTTGAAACAAAGTGCATAAATTACAATTACTTAAGTTTCCATTTCAACTGTTATTCTATATTTGTCATACTCTGTTGTATCTCAGATCTTTTAAAGGCAGCTTTATAGTATCTTCAAATCATTATACAACTATTTATATTTTATTAAGCTCTTTAAGTGTTTTTTTTCTTTAAAGCAATATTAAGTATATGAAATCATAAATGAGGTACAGATTAAAGATTAAGAAATAAATTAAAATATTCTCGATGGCTGTCGTATTGCAGGAGAATCATAATAGGTATAATCTTAATTTAGTTTCATAAATTTCAAATGTTTTACTTTGGAAAATTAAAATGTTTTCTTAAAGAAGCAATTATTTTTTTTATAGTTATTGATCATATTTTCAAAACTACAAAATATCATGAATTGTTAACCATAACCATAAATAAAACGAACCGTTTGATTTTTTAATATGTTGTTTAATAAATAGTAACTATGTTAATAAATTGAAAATGTTTGAAAAGGTGCATAAATTTTACCTCATGATAGCTTTGTTGATGTTCTACTAGTGGTCTTTGGGTATTGAATGACCTTATTTAGAGTGTTCAAGTGTTGTTAGGTAAAGTGTATCTATTGCCCAAATTGACCAAAATGAAATATATATCTGTTTTATTATAAAAACAGAGACAAGAAAATTGACAAGCAGTCTTTTGAAAAACAAATTTTTCTAAAAATATATTGTTAATTTTTTTCATTATATTATAAAATTAAATATCTCATACACACATTTTGGAAACTAACTTCTTTATGATATATTTCTAAAAATTGATATTCGTTTCAAAACAGTTTTTTTTAGAAAATTTAATATTGAGTTATTTAGAAAAAATAATATTGTATGAGAATGTTAATAAGAGAGACTGAAATATAGCTTAAGTGTTCAATGTTTTTTTTTTATTTGTATTTTCTGAATTCTTCAATACTATAGTTTTTATGCAATAGTGTCTGCAGTTTGTTAGAATATTATGTTGTGAAATGTTTAAATTATTTTTGGCTCAACAACCATTGTCACATTTTGCCTAATTTTTAAAAATGTAATCTTTATTGAGCTTTTTTAATATTTAAATTTGGTTCCTGATACTCAGTTTATACAACAGGTAGAATGATTTTAGATTTTTCTTGTGCCATATAAAAGTAATTTTTATTTTGTTTAGTTTTACCTTGGTGTGAAATGAATTGTCTTAGTTTTAAAATTATAATTACAATGACCTGAACTTTTATTGCTCGTAATGGTTCTTGGGAGTTTAATTATAAGTTAGGAAATTGAAAAGTTCTAACTCAACTCAAGGTATTTTAATTTGAATAAACTTCTTTTATTCATATATATTTGTTATTTTTAGGTGTAGTTTTATTTCTTGTTTCACTCGAATTTTATTCAAAGTGTTCTTTTTCTGCACATAAAAGATTCAATTCAGTCATTTATTTTATTATTTTTGTGTTGAGTCATTGTTTGTGTTGTGAAGTGGATCCATTTTTATTTCTTTGAAAAGAATTTAAAATTATTCCTGTAAATTTTTCTTGTAATCTTGTAAACGTTACTATTATATGTTTTCATGTTTTATGATTTCAAAATTTTTTGTTCATTAAATAGTTTTGGAAGCTGTGTGTTGTACATATATTTCAGTTACTGTTTTATAAAATTTGAATATCTTTATTTTGGTGTAAAACATTCAATGATTTTTTTAATTTGCAATAATTCAATCATGTATAAATATAATATTTTGTTAATTTTTTATCATCATATTTTGATATTCTGTATTGTTTGGTTTTTCTTTTGTTTATTGAAATATTTTAAATTGATGTGATGAAACTAAATTTATAAAAAAGTACAATCTATATGCTTGCTCATACGTGTTTTGCTAGAATTTATTACTTAATTTTAATATTGCCGTTTAACGTCTGTATTATACCTATTTTAACATAATATTTTATAGTAGTTTTTATCTATTATGCTTGACTTTTTGATGTATTATTTGTTTTCCTACTTATCTCATTGTTGAGTGTTATATTTATCTTTTTAATACTTAACATCCTTTATATTAGCTTTTCCTTTATAGTCTTGAATGAAATAACTTTTCTTTCTGAGAGTTATAAAAAGTTTTTTGATCACCAATTATAATTTTCTCATATCTTTTCTAATAATTATTTCTTAGTTACAGAACATAAATAAATAATTTTCAAACTTATGTTTATTAACAATATTTATGATCGATTATTTTTCTTCAAATAGTTCTGCTTAAAAAAATATATATATGAAAATAATATAATGCCTTTTCTATGTTGAACTAAAATCAATGTTGTAAAAAGTATTTTCTCTTTAAACTTTTCCACTCCTGGAAGAAAAAGTTGATTCTTATGAAAAAAGTTTGATGTATTAAAAACAATTTTTTGCAGAAGACAACAAAATTTGTTTTATACCACGTAGTTTAATTGTATGTCGTTTAATTGTATGTCGTATATCGTAAATATTTTTTTAAATACCAGAAAAATGAAACTAAATGTAGCAGTAAATGTCTTTGTAAGTTAAAATTCTTCTTGTCTATTATTTGTTTATATTTTATCCCATTTTCTGTAAAGAACTTTAAGGTCTACCCAATGAGTCATATTATGCAATGCTTTTTGGTATTGAAATGAATTAAGCAGCTCTCTTAAATATTCAAAACTTAAAATGCATCGGTAACATAATTGGAAGAAAACATTTTATGTATAAAATAATTAGTTAATACGTGTTTATCATAAATAGTAATTATTGCAATTTTAAATAAATATCTTATACTATAAGTTATTTAATATAAAATAAATAAATAAAAAAAAGTACACAAGAATGTTAAATTTTATTCCTGTTCTAAAAAATAAATTAAAACTCAAAATTTTTATACATGCCTTAGTTAAACCTTTTTTTTTTTTATAATTCATTAATCACCAGTTAGTTTATAAGATATTTGAAGAATCTGACATTTGAAAATTATAAAGTATTTCTACCCAAATTTTAAGATTTTTGACTATTTTAAAACAAAGATGTATTTTCAGATGTATGAAGACATATTTTAAGATTACCGAAAATTGATTCTGAAGAATTGCCATTTCTATTTTTTTTTATGAATTACTTTTTTATATAAAATAAATTCCAATGTATTTAAATCACATCATTCAATCTCCTTCCAGTGCATGTTTAGAAATGAAAATTGTATCTTATTTAATTTTTTAGTTACATCCAGGGCTAAAGAGAATAGAAGGGCTAGTTCACTCCCCTCTTAGAGCTGAAGCTACGATTTCCCTCCTCATGACGTCACTGTGTCCACAGATCTCAGAGATCGCAAGCAAAGATATGATAACTTTGCATCTTTCTGTTTGTAAATTTGTAAAAATAAGTTAGACTTTTTCTGGTTATTAGCTTTCAAACTTTACGTAATTAGTACATTATTTCCGTTCATAAACATAGTTCAAAAAAACTTTCTTGGTTATTATATTAAAAAAAATACCATTTCAAACTTATAAAAATGTTTTACTAGCTGGCGAAAATGACACTATAAATACTTTACCTATTTTAAAAAGTTCAGTTTTAACTTTAATTATTAAGAAAAATGAAAGCATATATCGACACTTTTTTTATCTACATATTCTTTTATAACAATAAGTTAAGTTAAATTTAGAATCCCTGATTTTAAAATATGTCGTTAATAGCTAATTACTGAAACAAAATAATAATTTAGGTTCTTAATGACATTAAAAATTTTGCAATTGTTTATAGATATTTAAATTTACGATGATATAATTTATAGATAATTAAATTGAAGACAATATAATTTTTTTAAAAAAAATAATAAATATTTAGAATAACTACATTAAAAAATATGTTATGAAATTAGGAGAATTTCAACTATATACTATATATTTTATTTATACTTTTTACT